TAACAGGACCACAGAGCACAGGCCCACACCCCCACCATGCACCCCTCCCGACAGTTGACAGTCACCCCTACACTCCAGCCACCCATGATGCCCTTCCCCAAGAGCCCAGCTTCCTTCCGTCAGCCTGGAAGTCCCATTTCTGTGCTTTGAAACCGATCTCAGGAGCCACTTCTTCCAAGAAGTCTTCCCTGATCCCCTCTTGATTGTAACCTCACTTTCCTTTGGCACTTTATTTCTCGCTCTCTCTTCCTGTGATCCTGGTTCGGGGTCATTAATTAGTTGGCATAACCTAAACTCACTGTGTCCCACAAGGCCTAGTACCAGGCCTTGCCCACAGGAAGTGCTCAGCACATCTTTGGTTAATGAGAGCAGATATGATGGGAAATGCTACTGTATGAGAGACAGAATCAGAATAAAGAGCTGAAACCATAGCATGAGGGATTTAAGGTGGATTCAAAGGCAACCTGTTGACAGTGCATTTTGTTCAACTCTGGAACAGATCTATCTCTAAGTGGCACTGAGGAGCCTCCCACCTCCCTCCAAAGATTTTTCAAATCAATGAGCATTTTCTTCAGGTGTCCAAGATTTTGCAAAAGAGGCAGGAAAGTGGACAATACGTCTCAGGGCCCTCCCTTCAGTGCCAGTGCACATGAGCTGCCCAGATGATGAATCCCTGCTGGCTAACACTGAGCCCTTCCACTCTGCTGAGTGACATGAACCATCTTCCATCCTCACAACCACCTATTAGTAGAGCCCAGCCTCCTAAGGTGGGGAAACTGAGGCTCAGAGTTCAGTCAGCTGCCCCCAATGCCCCAAATGTCAGAACATAGCTCCTTCTGACCCCAGGGCCCTCATTTCAGCTGCCTGGAAACAAGCGCATGTCTAAGTTGTGTTACCCCAGTGTGCTGCACACTGTGCACATGGAAATATGCAGACACACGTGTGCCATGCCCTGTATTGCCCACACACTTAGCCAAATGGAGGCTTGGACACACACGCAAATCTCATACCGCGTGGATCTCAGATCTGGTCATTTCTTTAGACAAAAATAGTCAAAGAGAGAAATGATTGAAAACAAGCCTTCAAGATCTGAGTGGAAAGGAATTTAGCACTTTGATTTACTGTGAGAGCCCCGCTCCTGAGCAGTGAAGCGCCCAGGACCAGGAGCCCAAGATGCCCAGCCTCAGGGATGGCAGGCCTCTGACTTGCTCTGCTATCAGATACCAAAATGGAAGTGGACACAATTCCCGTCCACCGCACCTTGGCTCTAACTGAGCCTGTTCCCAAGCTGGAGCCAGAGACACACTCAGCTACCAATGGGACATGGGATGGGGGGACGGGCACAGGCATCAAGTCTGGGACCCCAGGCCACACAAGCCAAAAGCAGCAGGGAGTGCTCAGGGAGTGGGCCAGCTGACAGGCACACAACTGGCCCTCTGGCCACAGGTTTTGGACAGCATTCCAACCGTGGAAGCAACAGGGCCTGGCCCCACACCCAAACACCCCAAAGTAGTGCCAAGCCTTCTCAGCACTAAAGTTCTCTTTCAACCCTAAACCCTAAGGCAGGGCTTCTAAGGGTAACGTTCCAGGCCCAAGGATGGGGAGGAGGGTTCGATCAATATGCTTAACTCACCCATCAGAGCGCCAACAGGATTGCTTTAGTCCCCTTTCTACCTGGTTCCCCCCAGAAGATGCCTTGATGGAGTCCAGCCTTTCAGGGAGGCTGGAGCCTAAGGAACTAAAGGCAATGGCCCTCAGCCGGGGCAGAGCAGCAGCTAGCAGAGCGCAGGGCCACCAAACCTGGCCTCAGCAAGCGGACAGGAGTCTTTACAGAAGTGCAGCCAGCTTCCCTGCCTGTGAAGGTCCCACATGTCTCAGGGGAGGGGGTCCCAAGGCAGCCAAAGCCAGGTCCCTGTCCTGTGGAGATCACTCACTGACAGAAGAACCGGACACCCAGAGTGCACCCCAGAAGAGCTGGAGCAGAGGGCAGGCCAAGCTCCTGACGCAGGGCTGGTCTCACTTCTTCCCAGCAAGGTGACCCTGGGCCTGTCCCGTCTCCTTTCCAGGCTTTTCAGAGGCCCATGGGCAGGCATGTGTGTGACTATGCATAAGGGACTCAGGAGCTTAGGTGCATCAGCTTTAGAGAGGAAACCCCAGAAATGATGACACGGTCACAGATGGGCCCGCAAACCTACAGAACACCTCTGTGTGAAGGCTCAGCCAGAGACTGTTCACACCCTCTGTGGAATCAGATGCGGCAAACCTGTCTCCTGCAGAGCCCCCAGCCCTCAACTACCTCATCCCTAGGGAGGCCCTGCTCTCTGGCCTTCTCCGTGTGGTAAAAAAAAACAAAAAACACAACAAACAGACCACCCCGCCCCCATTCCTGGGTCTGAAATTCCACCACTAGATTCAGAGCCATAGAATTTCAAGTTGGAACCGACTTTCAAGCTCCAGTCCAACCCCCACCCCACAGAGGAATCCGGTCTGCAGACACCCTGACAGATGGCCACGGGCATGCTCTCCCCTGCTCCAGTGCTGAGGGCAGCCCTGGAGCTGTGGACCAGTTGTCACTCCCCTGAATCTAAAACAAACCACCTTTTCTGAGGTCAGCTCCTAGCGCTTCTCAGCCTGAGCCTGGAGCTGCTCATCTGATGAGTAGCTGAAGACAAGCACCAAGGAACTGGACAAGAGGCCAAGAGGGAGTCAGGGCCCAAAGAAGTGGGGCCCCGGAAGGGAGGCAGACAGGTGCTAGACATGTTATGCAATCTGCTGGGGTCCCTGCCTTGGTGCAGCACATGCAGGCACTTACACTGCTGCCTGCCAGACAGCCCTGCCAGGGCCTCAGTGGGACCTGGAGGCAGAGGGAGCACCCAGACCCAGAAGCTCAGCAGGAGCTCCAAGCCTCCAAACCCAGACAGCTCGGGAAACTACCAGGAGACGGTCTGTGCAGCAGAGGGGACAGCCCAAGGAGGGTCCGCCTGACAGCTGGGCTCCCCAAATCCCACAGGCGAGTCCGCACTTCTGCAAGCCTAAGGAGAAGAGCTTCCCTGGCTGCAGCTGTCACATCTGCCTGGGAGGGAGGAGGCACAGCGGAGCAGCACCTGATCCCAGGATCCCTTGGCAGCCACCAGCCTAGGAGGCCGGTTCAGGGCTGGCAGCCCACGGTGAAACATGAAGACCGAACAGTCCCCCGGAGATGCTGATGGCAGTCTCTGGGCAGGGCAGTGCGGGGCAAGCGGGGTCACGGGCGGAGGGGCTACATGCGCTGGCGCCTGTCCCAGCTGGTTTGGAAGGGGCGCAAGATGCATGGCTCTGGGGCCCCGGTGGGTCCGTCCCCCGCCTCCAGCCTGGCCTGCCGCAGGCTCGAGCTGCCCAGCTGGGTGCAGGACGCCATCTTGGGTCAAGGTGCAACCCCAGGGGGCTCCCCTCAGAGCTAGGGAAGAAAATCGCCGAGTACCTGTGAGCACCCCACTCCCTACTCAGGGCGCCAACACCTACTCAACTGGCTTTGCAGCAGAGAGCGAGATGACGAGGGTACGCGCGAGAAAAGGGAGAAGTAGCAGAGGGGGAGGAAAGGAGTGGGTGCCCCAAGAAGGGAGGCTCCAGGAAAGCTAAATGCAGTTTGGCAGCCCGGGGGCCGCAGGCCCCAGCGTTGGGGGGCTGGGGGAGGCCGGGGGCGGGCCCTGGAGCCCCGCCAGCTCCGTCCGTGCGCGCAGGGGGGGAGAGGGCAGGGCGGCCTGGGGGAGGGGAGCCGGGGTGAGGGCGGGACACGGACCGCGGCCGCCTGTGGCTCCGAAACTCCGGGTCTCCCGGGGCGCGGGGATGGGGGGCCGCGGACCCCGAGCCGCAGCCTCCGCGAGGCCTCGTCCTTCACTGTGCAGATGCGAAGCTTTCAAGGACACGTCTGCACCGGCCCGGCGGGGGTGCGTGTGCGTGAGTGTGTCCGCGTGTGCGTGTGAGTGTGCCCGGGGGTGCTGCCGCCGCCGCGGCCGCTGCGGGGGGCGACCCCGGCCGCCCACGCCCCCCAGCCGCTCCCGGCGCCGGCCCCGCGGCGCCCGCCCCCGCGCTTTCCGGCCCCCGCGGCCCGGGTCCGGGATCCTCGCCCGCCCCCGCCCCGCCCCCACACTGCGGCGCCGCCGCCCCGGCTCCCACGGCCCCGGCGCGGGCAGGGAGGGGCCGGGCACCTGGCCCCCCGCGCCGCCGGTGCCCGCGGGAGGTGCGCCCCCCGGGCGCCGCTCCCCGCCCCGCGCCCCTCCCGGGGCCGCCGGCGCCCGCGCCCCAGCCACAGGTGGCCGGAGAGGCTCGCGGCGCGGCGCTCCCCGGCCGGGCCCCCGGATCGCCCCGCGTCCCGCCCCGGGGGCCTCCCGGGTCCCCGCCCCGCCGGGCCGGAGCGGGCCCGGAGCCGGGGGGAGGGGCGGGGGGCCGGGTCGTGCCAGGCTGCCATTTTCTGCCGCCGCCGCGGAGCCTGCGCGGGGCCCGGCCCCCGCCCCCTCCCCGCTCCCTGCGGGCCGCGGCGGGGCCGGCGATTCCGGGTCGGGGTCCGCGCCCTCGGGCGCCCCGCGGCGGGCCCCGGCGGGCCCCGGGGCGGGGGCAGGGCCCGGAAGGCGGGGGCGGCCGGGCCGGGCCGGGCCCCTGCGGCAGCGCCGGGCCGGGCACCGCGGCGGAGGCCGGCGGCGGAGGGGCCCCCGCGGCATTGTATGGACTTGAACTTGAGCCCGGGGCGGGCGGGGCGCGCGGGGGCGCCGCGCCGGGAGCGCGCGGGGCGGGCGGGGGCGCCGGCGGGGCCCCGGGGACATAAACAAACCCTCCGTCCCCCGCGCCGCCCGCCGGCCCGGCCCGCCGGCCCCGCGCCGCCCCGGCCCGCGGGCGCCGGCGCCGAGTTGCAGGGTCCGGGCGCGAACCCCGAGCCCCGAGCCCCGCGCCCCGCCCGCGCCCGCGCCCCGCCGCCGCCGCCGCCGCCGGGCCGGCCTCCCGGCCGCGGGCCGCGCGCTCTTTACCGTGTGGCCGGTCGGCTCGGGCGGCCCGGTGCGCCCTGTGCCGCGGCGCCGCGTCCCGGCTCGTCCTCTGCTCGCGCCGCCGCCCGCGCGCCGCCGCCGCCGCCGCCGCTCCCTCCCTGCGCCGCTGTCGCGCTCCCTCTCTCCGCCTCCTCCGCCGGGTCCCCCCGCCCGCCCCTTCTCTCCGCCTTCCTCCTTCCCTCCCTCCGGCCGCCGGGCCCAGCCTCCGCCCGCCGCTCGCCCCCCGCGGCCGCGCTGGCCCGCGCCCCGGCGCTGCGGAGCCGGCCCGGGAGGCAGCGCCGACTGGGGGGCCCCGGGGCGCCGCGGCGGGAGCGGCCCGGGCGCGCGGCCGGTCCTAGCGCCCTCGCCCCGACGTCCCGGCCCCCGCGGCGCCCCGGGGGTCCCCGCGCGCCGCGAGCCGGAGGCCCGGACCCCGCCGCCCGACCCCGCGCGGGGCCGCGCGCCCCGCCTCGGCCCGCCGCGGCCGCCCCCCGGGGCCCCTGCCGCGCCCGCCCCCCCCCCGGCGCCCGGGTACCTGGCGCTGCCTCGGCGCGGGGTCCCCGCATCCAGCACTGGCCGCAGGGACAGCGGCCCCTCCTCTCCCGGGCCGGTGTCAAGTGCCTGCCCCCCGCAGCCCGCGGAGCCCCCGCGGCCTTCGCCCTGCAGTTCTCGCGACCTCCGCCAGAGCCCACTGCTCCTGCGTGCCTCAGCACTGGGGCCGGGGACAGCAGCGCCGCCCGCCCGCCCCCCGCCGCCCCGCCGGGTGCTGCCGCGGAGCGAGGCCGGCCCCCGCCGCGGCCAAGGTCGGGGCGCCGGCCCAGCTCGGCGGCCCCCGAGGCTCGAGCGCCGCGTGGGGTCAGCCCCCCGGAAGGGAGTGAGCTCCCGTACCTTGAGGCGTCGAGTGGAGTTGGGTGCCCTCAGTTGGGCAGCGGAGACCGCTGGATTTTATGGGGAGAGGTCGAGTTAAATGACATTGAAGATCCCTTCTTCCAGCTCCGAGAGTCTGTGCACACCTACACTCCGCTGTCATGCTTACTCACCCCTCTGCCGGGGGGGGGGGGGGGGGGGGGGTGTTCTCGCTTCCTATGGCGTTCTCAGGGCTCCCGCTTTCTGATTTGGGGCATTTCTCTTCCCCAGATGGCCACCCCCTGCAGTCATCACTCGCCTCCAATCGCCACCTTTGGAGCCTGGTGCTGAGCCTCTGAACCCCACTTCTGCCTGTGGGGAGCCTTCTCCCACTGTGCAGCCCCCCATTCTGCTCAGCGCTTCAGCTGGGTCCTGAGCTCCCTGCCCCAGGACATGGTGAGCTCTTTCCCCCCAGAACCCCCCATCCCACTTGTGGGCAGGGACTACTGAAGATGGTCAACCGCCCCTCACTGTGAAGCCAGCCCTGCACTTCCTTCTATTCCACCAACTTCACCCCCTCCAGGGTCACAGGAACAGTCACCTAGCTCTTTGGGATGCTACAATGACTTCCTTCAGGAAATTCTCTGTGCTTCCAGGTCCTTTAATCTGCCCCATCCCCAGGCCTCAAGGTCAGAGCCAACCTCCACACAATGGTCCTGACTCTTTTGGGTGTCATCCTCACTCAAGTGGTCACACCACCGATGATAGGAGAGGGATGTCATAGGCCCTGCTATCCATGGACTCTGTCTGACGGGTCCCCAAGATTCATGATAGTCCTTCCATGAGGACAGGGGCCATGTCAGTCATCTCCGCAGCCCCAGCAGTTAGCACAAGCTATGCTCTCAGCAAACCTTGGTTGAATGTGTGTAGCGCAGGCTCCTCCCTCTTTGCTTTTTACAACAAGAGAGGCATCCACAAATACTAAAGCTTGGCTAAGGGGAAACCAGTTTTAGAAAGATGGCTGACATAGCTCTCCTTTCCTCAAGGGCTTATATAACACTGCCCCAAATAACAGGGGCCATCTACTGAGTGTCTCCTGTGTGCCAGGTACCAAACTTGGCACTTTTCCCATAGTCCTTACCAACCCTCTGCGGCAGTTTGTATTATCCTCCCCCTACAGATGAAGAGATGGAGGCTTAGTCAAAGTCACACAGTTGGAAGGTGGCAGAGTCAGGATCAAAGGCAGGCTCATCTGAAATCACCATTTCAGATGAAGTTTCAGATCAAGTTCAGATGGAGTTTCATAAAACTTTATAGTTGCTTTTAGCCAGCTGTAATTCTCAGGTCCCAATGGGCACACATTAGTGTCTATTTAGCAGAACTCTTTATAATGAAATCATTGCAGCCCATGATGTGTGTGAGCTTGGGTATGCGTGGCTGGGTCCAAGGTGCCCACAGTCACCTGCTAAGGGGTTTGTGTCCAATCAGAAGCAACTTTGTGGCTGCGAGGTTGATTCTGGAGCCTGGCCCTGATGTCCTTGGCATGATGAAGACCCTCTAGGTGGTCCCACTAAGAGGCATCTCAGTGCTGGTTAACCCTACTAGGAGCCTCCTCACCACACATCACGCTGGATTCAGTCTGGATCGATCTAGCCTTTAGTTGCTGTAGCCCCTCACTTGTGTCTGAGTCACGGTGACTTCACCAAAATCCTAATTGAGCCTAGATAATCTCTGGGCAAGGGGTCGTATCAGTCAGGGTAAGCTAGGTTATCCTTTGGTATCAAACAATCCCAAGTCTCAGTGACTTAAAACCACAAAGTATGGCATGTCCTCCCAAACATTAAAGTTAAAATTACCATATGATTCAGGAATTCCACTTCTGGGTATATGTCCCCCAAAATTGAAAGCAGAGACTAGCTCATGGCAGCATTGTTCACAATAGCCAAATGGTGGAGACAACCCAGATGTTCATCAGTTAATGAATGGATAAGGAAAATGTGCTATAGAAATACAATGGAATATTATTCAATCTTTAAAGGAAAGGAAATTCTCACACATGTTAAAACATGAAGGAACCTTGAGGATATTATGCTCAGTGAAAGGAATCAGACACAAAAGGACAAATGTTTTATGATTCCACTTACTAGAGTAGTCAGATTCAGAAACCAAGTAGAATAGGGATTGCCAGGAAATGGGGGAAGGGAAATAGGTGGTTAGTGTTCAGTGGGTACAGAGTTTAATTGGGGAAGGTGTATGGTGGGATGTACTTAATGGTCTGAACTATACACTTAAAATGGTTAAAATATAAATTGTATGAATGTATGTATATGTAGCCACAATAAAAAAGAGCATAGCGCAAGGTTATGTTAAATGTATTAAATACATTATTTTAAAAAACCAGGCTTCTTTTCTTGCTTCTGTTACATGTCTGTGGCAGGTCCACTGAGGGGTAGAGCTCATTGAATATCCTGCTTGACAAGAGCCACCATCTCGAGAAAAGCCCTAGAGCAAACCACATTGACAATTGCCATTTGTCACGCATTGGCGAAACCACTCACACAGCGCCATTCAACTGCATGGACCCAGGAAGCAGACACTACCGTAGACCTCAAGTTGGGAGAGGACCAGACACATTGAGTAACCAGCACGGGACCCCTTCCATTCCCTTCCAGGACAGCTTGTTCCAGGACAGTCCATTCAGGGACTCCCCTGGAATACTCAGTTCCCACACACCTAACTCAGAAGAGAGAAGTAAAGTTGGGCTACCCTGGGCCCCAACGCCCTGCAAAACCTTACATCCTCTCCATCAGTTTGCTCCTGAAACCGTTCCACGTGGCTTTGCCACACTTTCTCCCTGACTTCCAGGGAGGGCTTCTCCCATCCTGCTAGGAGATTTCACCCCCCCCCACACCCAGTGTCTTGCTACTCAGGTCATCTTAATATCCATTTCATTCTGGGCCACTTTCCATGTCGGTTCTTCATCTAGAACACATGGTCATAATTCCACCTACCTTCCAGCTGGGGTTGTCATATTAGTCAAGATCTCAAGAACTGAGGAGTATTTGTGTATGATAAAGGACACAGCCTGCAAGATGTGTGCCTTCTGCAAGACTGAAATCAAGACACATCCGATGCCCAATTCCATTCACTGGTATTTAAAATAAATATATATCGCATTTCTTATACGCCCACAGGTAGGATGGAGCTGACCACGTATGGAAGAATTGCTTTACTGGTCTTATACTTCAAGTTAAGTTCTGAAAAGGCTCCAGCTGTGAAAGCAACACACATGGGTTCAGTCTCCATACCTGGAGGAGCTAATGTCAACTCATCATGTGATAATTTGCACAATAAATTATGAGCTTGGGTGGGGGGGGGTGCGGGGAGACTTGCGAAAAAGTTGCTAGTGACTGGATTCTAGCCTAAACTAGCTTGAACAAAAAATGGCGTCAGTAGTTTAGAGTTTAGACAATTGGGTAACCCAGGAATAGATCAATCCCAGGCTGAAATGCCCACTCCAGAGCTAGCTCTCTCTTTCCATCACTCTCCTCTGCTCCCCACTATGTTGCTGTCTCTTCCTCTTACTTTAAACGGATTCCAAGATAGCGGCCAGCAGTTTCAGGTTCTCCCAGCTTAGAATTTCAGTAGAAGAATACCACTTTCCTTCAGAAACCCCCCTAATGCTTCCAGGACGTGAGACTCCATGCTCTTTAACAACATTCCCTCCAAAATCTGAGCCTCAAGATCTGAGACACATGTAAAATATGTGCAATACGTGTGTGCGCGACTGTATGTCTACACGACGTGTGCTTCCTTTATCCCTGGAGAGCGCCTGCGAGCAGTGAAATCTCAATAGCAATGAGAACTCCTCATGCTCAGAGCACCAGTCTCCACTCAAATGAACTGGACCTTCTCAGAGAAGTGGCAGACCCAGAAAGTGGGCTGAGCAAGGAACAAGATGGACCCAGAATATGTCACACTTAAAAGCAAGGAAGTGCTCAAAGAATGATGACTGTGCAGAAGGGGCTCCCATGGAGACATACAGGGACACGTGAGCACCCAACAGTGGGCAGCACCACAGATTGTAACCACTGAATAAAATAAGAATCCACATAGCTAGAAACTGCAAGTCTGATGAGGGACGGGACATCTACATAGTTCCCTCTGCATCCTCGACTAAATACTAGCGGCCAAGGGGACAAGAGTGACT